CCGGGCCCGGCCTCGCCTGCGCCGCGCTCCGCTCCCGCCGGCCCAGCCGAGGCGCACGCCGCCGCCGGCCCTCTCGCACCTCCCCGGCCGCGCCGCCTTTTCTAGGCGCCTCCTCCCGCCCCTCCCCGCGCGGCCCGCGCCTCCGCCGGGGCCTCCCGCGCCGCCAGCCCGGGCACCCCCCGCCGCGCAGCCAGGGTGCTGGGGGTCCCCGGTCATCCCAGCTCGTAATCCTTGGCGTGGCCATTGGAGGTTTTCTCTGTCTCATTCGAGTCCCAATAAAAGCATCTATAGAAACTTTCTATTTGGAAGTTTAACTTTATCTGCAGCTTACAATCAAGAGAGCAAAACGAGATGTTTAAGTGTTCAGGAGGCTTCCAGACCTGTCCCCTGGCCCCCTCCTTCCAACCCGGCCCCCTTGTTTACCTTCTAAAGTGGCCACCGTGCCCAGGGGCCGATGCCTGGGTTACCTGTGCCCCCAAGGCCAGCTCGTGGGGCCCTTGGGTGGAGAGCCCTGGGGAAATCAGAGACGCTGCCTGCGACCCCCTGGCGCCTGGCTGTTCCTGCGGCGTTTTCCAGGCAGGCTCTTGCTTCGGGACTAGGGTCTTACCCACCTTTCCCCTTTTCCTTCCTCCAGAGAGGGAGAGGGACACATGCTTCCCTTTCTTCCTGCTTTCCAATCGGATGACCGGCAAGGGGTGCTTGCGTTTCCAGCCCCCACCCACACAGACGCCCCCCACCCACGCCCGGGGACCCACCTGTCCGTTCCCTTTGGGGGAATGAGGGAGAGGCTAAGACCACAGCAAAGAGAGCCGAGGACGGAGGGTGCTGTGTGGACGGTTACACCAGCTGCATTTGCCCTTTCGTCTGCCCAGAAGGGGCCCAAGACCTGGGCCCAGGAAGGGGAGTGTCAGAGTCTTTTCTTCCGACACCCCCAAAATGAGGGCAGCACCTTGACTGAAGCATGCTCATTCGGTCAAGGTTGGTCAAGCCCCCACTGCACACCCAGCCTTGGCTATACCTGGGAACGGACATTCGTGAGACAGCTGGTCCCCGTCCCGGTGGGGCAGCAGCCAGCACACCAGGAAACCACAGCTGTGAGTTTCACGCAGAAACTTAACAAGGTGCTGGTTCGAGAATAATCCACCACAGGGTGCTGGGGAAGGCTTGCTCCAACCAGGTGGTTTTTAAAGGTTCCACCTGAGCAGCCCAGCACGAGCCTCGGCATCCCAGGTGCCCTCAAGGACGCCTGACAGAGGGCGGGGCAGCTTCCTGAGCGCCCACAGGGCAAAAGGTGTGAGCCCAGCCCCAGGTGAATCTACAGCCTATTTCCTCCTCCCCCAGGAAAGAACGAGAGAAAGCTGCGGCCAGAACTGAATTAACCAGGGGTTTCAATATCAGGAACATTCTGGAGGGAAAAAGTCTGACAGTGGACGCAGTTTTCTCCAATTCTTAGGCAAGACCGTCCTTCTTCAGCCCTTGGGCTGCTTGACCACTGTGGATGGCTGAACTGCTGTCACCTCCCAGGACAAAACTGGGAGCCATTCCTTCTAGAACGTGAGCACACTGAGGTTCGCCTTCTCCCCGAATGCCCACCCGCCCAGGCCCACAGGAGAGCGCTGGCTTCAGCTGGGTCCTCGGACTGGCTGCCCTGGAGAGTCTTCGACAAGAACCGGTCACTTCTCATCACGGGGAAGTGAACAGATGACCCCTCGAGTGGCCACAGCCACCAAGGGCGGTGGACACTGGCGAGGGGTGTGGGGCAGGTTTTCGAAATTGCAGAACCCTCCTGGCTTCATTTAAAATGTTAACATTTTGGTCGTCTTGAATTGTTTGCATTCATTTTGACTTTTAAAATATTGCAGTAAAATACTCTTTGTCACGATTTCCGGGTTTGGGCATGTCGTTAAATTCCGTGCTCTAGGCGAGTGCGTCTCTTGCCTTGCCCTAGTCCCGGCCCCCGAGTGCCATCTGTACCCGCCATGGAAGCCCACTTATCAGGGGTGCCTTTGCAGCTGTGTCCACCCGAGTTCTGGAAGTTTCCCCTAAAACAGACCGCCCTGTGTGTGATAATGCTGGAGATGCGTAATACCACCAAACAGCAGGGAGAAAGAACTCCACTGCACTACAGATGCCAAACACCCACGCAGATGACCCCGGCGACCGTGACCTCTGACCTATTCGGATCCACTGCCACGGGCTGGGGGCCACCATCGATTGAAAGCTGGTACTGTGGGCGCTTCCATTCGGACAGTGCCAGATGGTGCGCAAATGTCACAGAGGGGAGGGAAGGCCGGAATTTCCATAGATTCGCTGAGCCCGGGCTACCCGGTGCGTGGGAGGCTGCCTTGGCCCGTCTCAGGAGGAACCTCTGAAATGTGAGGCTCAAAGAGCAGCAATGGGGTGGGGGGTCTTTCAAGATCTGGGTGCCTGTTCCTGTCCACGTGCCGCAACAAGGGGCAGAGGGCTGCGGCGCTGGTGCTGAGGACTTACCCGCCGGGGCACGGGGAGTCCGCAGAGGTTCTGAAGCGAGTTTTAGGAGTGATCTGATCTGAACTGCTTCCAAAGCTGGGTTAACACGAGGAGAGTTTGGAGACAGAGAGAAATCGGGCAGAGAACATAGATACTTAATGGGGAAGAGTTTTGGGGTACCCCCGACAAGGGGTCCTGCTGTGTGTGTCCCATGTGGGGAGACCCCCGTGCACACACCCCTGGGAAGGGAGACCCACAAACAAGCTTGTGAAGTCACCTGCCTTTAAGAGCATATGGTGGGGAAGAAAGAAAAGTGACCTAGGGTGACCCCAAGCCTTAGGGGTGCGTCCCCCAGCACCCCAGCCTCAGGGGCATTTTCTCAGGCTGCTTTGTGAAGCAGAAGCCTGGTACTGGGAGAGAAAAGGCTTTTGCACTGAGAGCCGCTAGCTGTCTGTTCCCAGTGGCATGGGAGGAGTGTGCAGGCAAGCAGGCTGTGTGTCTGCGGGCGGCTCGCAGAGGTCTCTGCACACGCATCGTCATGCACGTGAACCCCACCAACTGTCCTGACGCTCAAGATAGATGCGTATTGTTTCCATTGTAAAATAAAGCAGATTGATGGAGGGGCGCCGTGGCTCACACCTGTAATCCCAGCACTTTGGGAGACAGAGGCAGAGGATCGCTTGAGGTCAGGTGTTTGAGACCAGCCTGGGCAACATAGTGAGACTTCGTCTCTACATAAAGTGAAAAAACATTAGCCAGATGTGGTGGCGTGCACCTGTAGTCCTAGCTACTTGGGAGGCTGAGGCAGGAGGATCACTTGAGCCCAGGAGTTCAAGGCTGCAGTGAGCTATGATCAGGCCACTGCACTCCAGCCTGGGCAACAGAGCAAGAGACTCTGTCTCTGAAACAAAAAACATATAATACAATAAAGCAGATTGAGCCATGGAGGCTCAGAGAGGTTAAGTGACTTGCCTGAGGTCACACAGCTACTAAGTAGAAAGCCACACTTGAGGTTGCTGGGTGGATGTAGGGGGACGGCTGTCAGTGGGCCCCAGTGGATCATGACATGGTGGAGGCGGGAGAACTGATGTCCCAATGCCTGACAACAAGGCATTTCTGTGACCTGCAGGGAGAGCTCCAAAGGAAGCAACCAGACCCACCCGGGAGCACACACCAAGGCCCTAAAGGCCCAGGTGGAGTTGAAAGCAAAGATCCTCCCCTTGGACATGGTGATTGTTCACAGGTCACTTCCCTGTCTCGTTCGCTATGCTGGAAGTTTCTAGAGGGCAGGGCCTGGCATGCCTGCTTCCTGGTAGGCTGTGCACACTGCACGCCGCCCGTCCGTGCAGTGTACTGACTCGACACACCCAGAAGGGGCCTCGTCACTCGTGCAGCAGCCCCTGGGGGGGACTCGCTGGCTGGCTCCTTTAATCAGACTTGTTTTGCTTCACAGTTCCCCAGGGTTGACACCACGATCTGGAAAGACTGGCAGAAAACGGAACCTTACATCTCCTTTAGAGATGCGAAAACAGAGGCACAGACAGGGTGGTGTTTTGCCTAAACTCACACAGCAGGGCCGGGTGTTAAACTGTCAGACAGGGGCTGCTTTGGTCATCATTTAGGGATGTTTCTGGAACGAGGAGCTGCTCCTCCCCATGAGCCACGGTCAGCACCCACGGAGGAGCCCCCTCCTTCCCCCGGGAGCGTGACGCGCCTGCGGGAGTGTCACGGCCGCCTGTCCACGCTCCGGGACTTGCACGTGTTTCTCTCCAAATGGCAGACGGGCCCCCTGCCCTCCGGAGCGGGGTGTGCCCGGGACTGCAGGTTCTTCTCACCACGGCACGGACACAGCTGGAAGGTGCACACATGGAGGGAGGGGTCTTCTTGCTGTGGGCACGCCCCGGCCGCCTGGGTTCAAGCCCCAGCTCTAGCACTTCCTGGCTGTGTGACTGGGCACGTTGCCTGCCCACACTGGGCCTCGGGGTCCCCGTCCATAAATCCGGGCTGATGATAAGGGTATTAAGTGTAACCAGGGTCCGCTTCCAGGGGTGCCAGGCACGGGCTGAGCCCCGGGCACTCTGCCAGGGAAAACTCCCCGGCTTAGCCAGCCGGCCTTAAACACTGCGCCTCCCCGCCTCTGTGTGACGTCACCAAGGCGATCAGTGTATTTAAACACACACACACACACACACACACACACATACTTTCACAGGCATGCATACACATCCACGCATACATGTACGCACACGCAAATGCACATGTGTATACACACATATACATCTATACACATACACACATACATACGTCTATACTCATGCACATGTATACATACATATACATGTATGCACACACATCTGTACACATCCACACACATCTATACACACACATATATACATCTACACACATGTACACATACATACGTGTATGCACACACATACACATACACATCCATGGGCACA